CCCCCCCCACACCACATCTTCTTGATCCTTTCGTTGGTTTGTGGACATTTCAGTTGTTTCCATAGTTTGGATAATGTAAATAGTGTTGCAATAATCAAAGGAATGAAGATTTCCTTTCAAATTAGTGTGTTTGTATAATGTATGAATGTGTGAAAAAGTGGTTGTACTTTTAAAATTTAGCAATCATTTTTTGGTAAGAATGTATTACTATAAAATACAGTGCTCCACTACTTTTTATTTCATTTTTTTAGACTATTACTAGTGTAGGGATGATATAGTTTACCTCAAAACAGAAGTGTTTTCTAGTAAAAAGATGTATTCAATGTAAAGATGTTCTTGTATAATATTAGAGAAATGTAATCTTGTTCTTCTATAATATTTTCTATTAAAATCTGAAACAAAAAATTACATTGATGTCCAGAATAGAAAATAAACTATATTATGCTATGCCGTATCATACGATGGAGATACTAGAATTTTAAAACATTCTTTACCAAGCTAACAATCATCTTTCTGTTGATTCAGAGAAATGAGAAACTCTTCATCCTCAATGATGGTGACTAACAAGGCATACCACTGCCTGCATGCTCTCCATGAAAAGTTTGTTTGTCTGACCAGGAAACAAGCCTAACGTGTTTCTTCCTTACAACTAAAATTTTTAGAATACCTAATATATTCTGATGCAAATTATAATTAGCTAAGGATGCTATGTATCTGTAGCAACAAATAAGTTTTAATGTTAAGAGTACTAGTCTCCAGATTGCCCCAGGATCACCTTTTGAGAAATGCTGCGTTAAAGACTCAGAGCTTTTTCATTTGTGGATTTGTTTTTGTACTGATAATAAAAGCAAAAACAGCATATATATCCTTGTCCTACTGTATTAAACTTTTTCCATTTCATTTTTCCATCACAACAGGAATATACGATTGATATTTTTTTCGCCCAAACATGGTATGACAGACGTCTGAAATTTAATAGCACCATTAAAGTCCTCAGATTGAACAGCAACATGGTGGGAAAAATCTGGATTCCAGACACTTTCTTCAGGAATTCCAAGAAGGCTGATGCCCACTGGATCACCACCCCCAACAGGATGCTGCGAATCTGGAATGATGGCCGTGTGCTCTACACTTTAAGGTATTCATTCTTTTGGAAAATGAAACAATGGTGGAAATAAAGTCAAGCAAATTTTCATGAAATAAAAAAATCCCTAGCCAACACCAGGGTCGTCGTGTTGGAACAGAATAGTATGATTCTGAAATGAATTTTCCTTTCTGTTATCAGTGAGCTTTTTCATAGGTTTATTCATGACTGGATTAAATTTTCTATAATTAATGTGAGAACTTGTTTCTCACAGGAACATGAAATTTCCATTATTTGATAAGAACACTTGATCTTTGCATTTTGCCTTTTGTTTCTGTGTCCTGATATTTTAAAAATGGAAATGGAAATACAGTCCACTCTTCTTGGGACCACCAACTGGTATGCTTGGAAACATCTCCATTGTTACAGAAGGGTTTTTGATGGTGAAGTCTGTGGATATCCTCCTGTATAGCTGCATAATGACAAGTAACTAGAATGAATTTCAGCTCCAATAGCTCGCACTCCCCACTACAATGAAGTTTCTCACTGGTTGAATGTATTCTCAAACAACATGATACATAAGTACATAGACTTAAGAGTCAGACAAATCTGCTTTGATTCTTAACTCTATGAATTGCTATCTCTACAAACAAAGGCAATACCCCAGAGTTCCTAATGACAGGGGACAGAATTCCTGGTAACAGGGGTGTTGGTGCTGCAAAGTTTTTAACAACGTTTTATTGTAGGGCCAATGCCACATTTTCACTTGGTTACATTTTGACTTAGGTGAATAGCAGCAATTGATGGAGAATAAGAAAGTAGGCATCACGACCCCCACAAAGGTTTCCTGTCCAAGACACTTTACTGTTAAGACCAGAAATTCTTATCATTCACTTTTTGGATTTCTTTCAGTGATAGATAAGATAATAAGATAATTCTTACCATACAGAATTTTCATAATAATATGCAGGGTGATATGTAAAATCTTTAAAATGTCTACTATATCATAAGCAGAGAGATGTTAAAATTTTTATATATTCTCAGTAAAAGATAAGAATAATTCTTCTTAGTATCCTGGAACTTTGAGCTTCAAAATGATTCATATTATATGCTCTTGTGGTGTTCCCTTTATGCTTTATATAACAAACCTAATAATAGTAATTGAAAAATAAATACAATTACAAAAACAGTTACATAAAATACATAATTTTAAACATACATGTAATATTTTATAATGGCACCAAAATCTTTATCAGAGTTGTAGCATTTACTAGGGAAAACGGATGTAATGACTAAAAAAGTTGATTGCATGCATTTTGCTTTGATCATGTATTTCATTAGGTTAGAAGTAAGATATTAACTGGAATGAGAACCTAGTGAAAACCAAAGCTTATCTGATAAATAAGAACTCTGCCTGTCACTTAAAGTAGTGTTTCTGACTACTTCTGTACTTAAAGTCCCTCCCTCTGTCTATCATAACATTACAGTCATTTGGGGACTTATATAAATTTGTGAAATCACTACAATATTTAACTATGTAAATTACATTAAAATGTTACTCATGAAATTCAATATAGTTATGAATGGGAGCGCTGACACATATTTTATCTATAATCTTATTACCAATTTTCTTGATTCCAGTTTAATTTGGAGAGATAATACTAATAAAATATCAAATGTAACAATCTCACTTATGAATAAGACTAGTCTTTAATTTGGGAGTGCATGCAATTTTTATAACTAATAAAAACCACAGCTTACTTTTGCCTTTGGACAAACACCGGTACACTGAAACCATAGTAACGTTTACAAAGGGAGAGGAGAACAAATCACTTTACTCAGTGCTTCATAGACAAGTAAGGGCTCAGTGATTGTAAGTTATATTTTTAAATTAGTAATTGTACTGCTCTACCATAGAAAAACAAAAATTCCTTAGTGAAAAACTATGCTAAACTCTAAAATTGGTTTTAATAAATAGAGGTCCATAAAATAAGTTTTATCACTTCAAGAATGATACCTATATGTTGGAAGAACTGTAGCTAACAAATATGGAATTAAAAAAATCAGCTCATCATCATTTCAATTTTAAAATATAACCCTACTTCTCCAAAGGTGGTCAAAGCATCTAGAACTCTCCTTTGAACTTTCTCCCTCCTAGAGTCTCTGCCCATGCTGAGACCTAGAAAATTTGTGTGCTTAATGTGCACCCCAGATACAAAATAGAGACTCATGATAAATATGTTTCTACTATGTCTCTGTATGTATATTTAACATTTGTTGTTTGCTGTTATTCTCCTACCCTGTAATATCATATTTAATAGCTTCATAGTGTTCTCTTTTAAGAATGCATAATACTTATGCATTCCCAGTTGGGAAGCATAGGTATTTTTAAACTCACATATAATAATTTAAAGCTAACAGCTAACAAGTACTTAAAAACAGAAGCCTCTGCCTTAATTAGCAGATAAGATAGAATTATCAGCTCTCATTTATATGCAAATAGTAAATGAACTTAAGTTCTTAAAACAGTTTGTTCTATGAAACAAGTTAAATAGATTCATTGAGCAATCTCATGTGTATAAATGATTTGTCATGAAAGAATTAAGTGATGTGATCACAGATCTTGAGTAAATGCTGTTGAGGTCAATGAGACGCTACTGTATGCTCTGAAAATGAATGGATCGCATCTCCTTAAATAATTTTCTCCTGGATATGATGAATTTCTTCATTGATGATCATGCTGTGTTATCAATAAGAACATAAACAATATTCTCTGGTGGTCACTAGACATTGTGGTAATGTACAACTTAAAAAAAAAAAAGATGTATGTATTAATACATACAGAACTGGGGTACAGGCCAGAGGTGCAGGGACCATGAGTGAATTCACCAGAGACAGAGTGGGGAGCTGAACAGGCAGATTGATCAAGTACACTGCTGAGGGGAGGAGTGGAGGAGAGGTCTGCTGTGCCATGTGGGTTAGCTCCCTGGCTGGGGATTGAACTCATGCTGAAGCAGCTGCTGCTTCATACTGCTGCACTTTAACTGTTGTGCCACCAGAGAGGACCTAATGCACAATTTTTGAACGTACATCTAAAATCTGTTTCTTATCTTTCTATTCAGATTGACAATTGATGCTGAGTGCCAGTTACAGTTGCACAATTTCCCAATGGATGAACACTCCTGCCCCTTGGAGTTCTCTAGTTGTAAGTAATACTCCTCCTCATCAGTGGTCTTTCCAATGTGAATTAATTGGGAAACTCAAAGAGGAAGCAAACTCCCAATAAGCAATATTGTTAACTTTGAGTATTTTAATAGTATCTTTCACCATAGCCCCACCTTGTCCCTATTAAAGTGATTTCTACAAAACTGACATCTGTTTTATTAGGAATTAGAAATAGGCTTCATTACAGGTTAAACTTTTAATAAATCTGCCTGGGTCCTTTGGTTACGACTGTTGAGCCATACCTGGATTAAGCTGAAAAGTGAAACATTAGCAGGCTAGAATTCCCTATTCCTCACCATAGGCCCAGGGTCTCGGTATATTTGCCAGTGTCTTCTCTATTAACATGTCAGGATGCACAGAGATCTGACAGTTTCACTTGCCTATTCCAATTTAAGCATACCCATTAAAGATAGCAAAATCAAAAATAATCTTTTCCACCTGGAGTTCTAGTAATATCTAGAATGATTGTGGGCCAATGAGTAAAAGACTGATTTTTGGTATCTGGAGGGCTAGTTATCTTTATCACTGTAGACTTGAGTGAATTACTAGATTTCAGTGAATTCCCCATTCTCAGAAAAGATTGTAAGACCTGTCCACAACAGCATTGTTTAGTTGATAAAATGTATGCAAAATGCTGGATGGTGTCTGACAAACAAAAAGACTTAATAAAAAACTATTAATAATCATTAACAATGTAAGTATTAATATCGGGTAATAAAGATACCGTACCAAGATATCCTTGATATAATTTAAGCTTTGGTAACCTTCACAGATATTTCTGGCCTGAGCCAAAATATTTGCCTATTTGTTCACTCTCTGTATTAGGTTGCTCACTACGTGCTCAGAGTGCGTTTGCCAACTGTACATATTAGGCACTAAGACAAAATGAATATGGATTTGAAGTTTTTATTCTTATCTTTCCATTTTCCCCTGAGACTTCTCTCCAGTGAACTAAGACTCAACAACTTGTGATTTTTGTGCCACCAGGTGGCTGATTGACCACTTTTCTGTATGCAAACACAGGTTTTTATTCCTTTTTGCTATCAAGGAATTTCAGATCTTGTCCATGGAATGCTTCCTAATAGTCATTATTTCCTTTGTTTTTACCATGTCCTGCCCACCCATTCTTGCTCCTTGGCAATCTGAGGATCTGACTTTGTTCTTTCTATTTAACTAATAAGTGCATACATAATATACCAAAAAGAAAGCAAAGAAGAAAAGAAAGGGGTTTTATCCCAAGGAGACATTTAGCCTCTATAATTAAGAATTATCTTTACACAGAATTATTAATAAACATTTGAGGTGATTTTTATTTTTTAAATCTATCTCCACCTATTTTACTTGAAAATGTTTATTCTACACTTTATTTAATAATAATGTTTATCCATTCAACAAATATATGTTGATCACCAATTCTATGAAATAAGTATGACCAGCATCCCCATAAGAAAAAAAATTTAGAAAATAAGAAATGTGCACAAGAGTGCACATGGCTAGGAGTGGTACTGGTAACCGTATTGTTGACATAGTAATACCTCTCCCAGAAAGTTTCTGTTTATTCTCTTGACTGAACGTAATTGACCCCCTTTTATGATAAAATGATTAGTGGTGTCTTCCCTTGGCATCTCTACTTACTGATGATAACTGTAGAACTCTATGTATCTTAGAAATGAAATCCCAACATATTGAGAGAATAATGTAATTTGTTTCAGTTGTTTTATCCCATTATCTTCCAGTCCAAGTACACACCCTGGAAAAGGCTTTGAGTCTACTCTTCTCTCATCGCCTTATAATTCTGCATGGCTCTAAATACCTTACCTTGTTGACTTGCTTCACCAAGCATCAATGTGTACCTTGTATATGTTCTATTTGTTATGTACTAGTCACTTTTCATATCTTAAACTAAACAATATGAAGTATCCATCTAGTATACACAAATATATATGTATACCATCTCTGCAATCTAAGTGAAGTTCAAGTGTAGTTTTGAACTACTATTTTTAAAATTTCACTCCCCAGTAGGATATAATGTCGTTGTATTTATTTCTCCTATTGCAGTGATTTTTAGACCAGGATCCTCATCAAAATAAGTCATAACTCACTCTCAGTGCTTTCCTCAGTGTCATGTTCATAGAGTGTAGTTCCTATATATGTTGATGTATAAAACTGTAAATAAGTTTTCCAATTTTCATGGTAGATGGCTATCCCCGTGAAGAAATTGTCTATCAGTGGAAGCGTAGTTCTGTTGAAGTGGGTGACACAAGATCTTGGAGACTTTATCAGTTTTCATTTGTTGGACTGAGAAACACTACTGAAGTAGTGAAGACAACTTCAGGTAAGATGCATTTGAAAAAAGTTCTGAGTAACATTTGCAGTTAAAATGCTAGTGTGTGTGTGTGTGTGTGTGTGTGTATTGTGTGTCTCTCCATGTGTGTATGAATGAATGAAAGAAGGTTTCTTAACTTCATAATACAAGTATACAAATTATATTCAGAAAATCAAATGTTCTAATTTACTAGAGACAATTATAATTGGTATAAGATACATTTAAATGGATACTATCACTGTGAAACAAATTGGATTGGTAAATTATTTAAATACATTGAGCACAAATGAGTAGCAATTATTTAGAAAGTAGAAGATATTAGGTGCAAGTACATTGTTTCTCTTTAGAAATCTGTTTCACATTATATTGAAGCTTCAGCATTTAAGTAATCATAGAGAATGAACTTTCTATATGTACAGAACAGTGACACTGTGAAAATGGGTATATTATCTCTTCAGTAATTTAAATATTTTGACCTGGCAACATGAGTTGATAAGGGGCTTGCTGTTGTTATCAGGCAGATTCAATCCAAACTCTAGAATCTTCCTAGTGGAGCAAGTGTTATCAAGTTATATCAGTGCTATCAAGCTATTGCCTGCATGGGTTTGACCCTGGCTAGGGAGCTAACCCACATGGCACAAGAGACCTCTCCTGTCTCTGCTACTGCTCCCCACTCTCTCTCTAGTGAATCCTTTCACCCCCATGCCACCCCAGCACCTCAGACTACACCCTAGTTCTTATATACATAAATAAGTAAAAATAAATTTTAAAAATAAAAAAGGCAAACTGTCAGTTACAAGTTCAAGGTACTGAGTAAATTACTGAATCTCTTGAATTGGTTCCCCCAGATACCCCATATGAATAAAAAGATTTAAATCCTAGTCATACTCTTTACTTAAAATAAAATGCATAGAATGATACCCAACATGTAGTAACCACATGAATAGATTACAACTCCTACATGTTGCTGCCCACCATCTTTTGACCCATTTACCCAATCACCCACCCACCTTCCCCCTTTCTTCCTGACAGT